ATATTACACACATTTAAATATCAATTAGGAAAATGAACAATAAAGGATCATGAACTGAATCATCTGTTTTACAACCAATCCTCTCAAGAACTGACTGAGAACAAGAGGGAAACCAAGCTTGCAATGTAAATTTCACTCAAATTGAAATAGGTAAAAAATTTAAATTTATTAACTAGCTAAGATTTGCAATCTCTAAGCTTAAAATGAGTAAGAACTGCATTTATAGAAGGATATTACATAAAATAGAACAGTGGTACCTGCTATTGCACATCATGCTAGTTACCTCCTAAAGGGAAAATCCAAGGATCTGCTCAGACACAAAATAAAATTGCACAGAAAAAAAACCCACCCAGAAGTTTCCCTTAAGAGCACCTTATTTACTGCATTGCAAACCAATTTCTTCATAGGAATAAGAACAAGGTTTGCATTTGTGTATGTCTAAAGCCTACTAAACCAGTTCCAGTTCGCATTTTCAGTGTGCAACAGTCACCCTGGCCAGACTGCAGCCTTGCCTACTAGTCTGAGCCAAGACATGGGTCTGACTGTCCCATCCTCACCCCAGCCTACGAGCAGCTGCCCCTGAACACAGCTGGGGGTGTGTGTACACATAGGTGCAAGCCCACTGATCCAGAGACTTGCACTTTAACCTCTGAGGGCCTTACTTGCCTGGGAACACTTCTCTAACATTCACCTAAAGAGCAGATCACAGATTGTTTCTGGAAGGCTGCTACTGCCTGAGGTTGTACTGAAATAAAAAGATATCTCAAAAACCTCCCCATATCAGCAAACACCAAACAGTGTTAAGACTTCAGTGAGAACTGTCTCCATACCATGCTCACAGCCCTTCAAAGCACCACAGCCTCCACTGAAACCTATTAAAAGCTGTGGCATGCGGATTGCAATGTCTTCAAACATTCACTGAGAGATACCTGGGCTTTAAAAGTACTGTGTAAGCCATAAGTACTTCCCATCCCCACCACCCTTTGCAAGTAAACTCAAAATTAAATATTGCAATAACATCTATTTTGAAAGAGACCGATCTTCCTTTAAACATAGAGCTTTTCTCTCTACAATGGAAGGCTTCTATGTGTTTTACAGAAATATAATCAGTGGGGATGGTGCTACCCAGGATGAAATAAAGTGCTAGTGGTTCGGCTACTTTTGACAGGTAACAACAACTGTGATTATTTACCTGTGATTCGTACCTCAGTGTTTTGATACTACCAGCCCAAGTGGAACTAGCTGATTGATAAGCACTTTGAAAATACTAATGAGTAGTCCCCTCATGCAAAGAGCCAATGTTACCGTTCAAGACAGGTGGCTGCACACATTTGCCAGATAGGGGGGGATCCTGCTGGTACTAAAGGACTCACTGAGAAAGGACAGACTACAGTGTAATTTATGTTAACAGGAGAACAGTCCTTTACATCAGTAAACGCCACGCTCTACAGCATTGCCCTCACTTGTAAAATGCACAATCCCAGACAGCAGCTTCCCTTTAAATCAAGGTTCTGAAGCCCCAGGCTGTCCTCTGCTCCTTTGCCAAGCATTTGGAACAGAGATCACATCCACACTCAGGGACATCAGGGAGCTGCTGCTAGCTTGCCCTTCCTAACACCCAAGCATCTTAATGGCTGTCTGCAGCAAGAGCAGGATGCTCCATGAACTCCAGCTCCCACAAACACACTTGTGTGCCTCCCAGCCCCGAATTCCCTAATCAAGCTGTAGTCTTCTACTCACATAGTTGGTTACAGAACAATGTGGCAGTCTAAAATATGAGACTGTTCCCTCTAAATCTCAAATGCTTTCCATGACATTGAATTAAAAAAAGGCAGTTTATAACACTGATCAAAAGGCAACAGAGGCAAGATGCAGAATCACAGCTAGCTTCCTCTTGAGCACATTTATCTCCAACTATGCTTTTATATTCATTACAGTAGGGGAAAAGCCCCCTTACACTTAGAAAATTGGTATGGCAAATATAACCATTTGTGCCTCCTCCCCCAAACTCTTTTCCCCTCTCTCCCTTCTGTTTGATGTTTTCTTTTATAGACAAAAGCTAAGATGACTACACTTTCCTTCCCTTAAGAGGAACCTTCAGAGTATATGAATTGCTAGAGTAAATAAAAGAAAGGAGGGAATTACTAATTTAATGCTGTTCCATCTCTTGGGGAAAAAGCCCATGTAATTAACTGTAATGAGATTAAACTAACTTGTTATTAATTTCCCAGTGCTGGGAAACTAAATCTGAGACCCATAAGACTGTGTATTAACAGCTTTATCAACATTTGGCTTGCATCCTTCAGTGTTTGCACCAGTTTTAAAGGAAAATTATTAACTTCATTGAGTTGCAAAGTCACTTAGAAGTATAAGAAATGGAAACTGGTCCCTTTAGGCAGGGATGCCAGTTTTCTCTGTAGCTGAAGACTATGAATGGGTGGAGCCAAAAGCCACAACTGCTCTTCAACACAAACAAGGTATAATTATAATTATTAAATCCTTACCAAAGCTTTTTTCCATTACTTCCTTCTGACACATATCTTGAACATTCACTGTACAATTCACGATGAACTCTGGAGCAGAGCAGTCATTATTTAGCTGGAACTCCTCACACTGGTAGCACTGTATTTGCAAACCCAAACCTAGAACAGATCGACTTTGGTCAGGATAATAGTATTAAAAAAAAAACAACAAAACAAAACAAAAATCAACACGTGCCACAAATCCTTACCCTTCCGTCTTCGCATGTCGCTGTGCCTATCTACGCAGCAGCCCAGCAGAAGCGCGACTTCTAAACAAACAACGCAAGATCAACGCGTCGCCCGCGCTGCTGAGACTGCTCCTTACCGCGCTCAGCCCTTGGTTTAGGAGCGGGCTGCCTTCCGCGGGGCTCCGTGGGGGACACCCGGCGGTACCGGCGCTGCCGCCAGCAGGCGGCGGGGCACGGGCATTGGCATAGTCCCCGCAGCGCAGCCGCTGCCCATCGCCTGCCCAGCCACCCCCAGCGAGGCGTGATGAAAACTGCCCCCGCTCCAGAGACAGCAACCCGGCTAATAGATGTGCTTCGGCTCTTATCTGCACCGACGGGTTTACTTAGCTACTAATTAATTACAAATGATTTAATTACTATTTTGCCATGCACAATTACAGCTGCGGAGCATCCTTCACTTCCCTCCTTTATCATGCAAACGAGGTGCTCTGTACTGCTCTCCGGGAGCCGCTCCTCCCAGCCCTCCGCTGAGGCCGCAGCGCGGCGACTCCCAGAACCCCGTCGGGGAGCAGCGCCTTGTGCCGCGCATGGGACCCCTCGCCCGCGTCTCCCCTTCGCCGGGAGCTGACGGCGGCGGGACCGATCCCGCTCCCCTCCGGGGCTGACGGCCAGCTCGGGGTAGGCGTGCGCCGCACCCGCGGTCAGCAGGCGGCATTCGCAGAATGCGGTACCGGGTACTGCGTGCGGAGCGACCCCCGCCTCGCCCCGCGGGTGGCCAGCGACGGGGACACCGGGCCGGGCTGTGCCCTCGCTCGCGGCAGGGAGCTCCACGGGGTGCGGGCAGGACGCCGGGCTCCCTTGCCCCGTTCCCGCTGAGCGCTCGGTGCCAGCTCCGTCGAAGAGACGAAGCATTCCAGCGGCCGCTGTGCCGGGCAGCGCGGGCTCGCCGCAGGTGCCTCTGGGGGAAGCTTTGCGGAGCCCCTTACCTGGAGCCAGGCACAATCCCCAGAAAGTTGCAGCAAGGAGGAAGAGCCGCATCCTCCCGGAGCTGCGGCCGCCGGGCTGGCGTGCAGTCGCGAAGGGGCATCAGAAAGAGCGAGGCAGCGGAGCCGCCGCGCACTTGTGCCGCTTCCCCGCCGCCTCCGCTGCGGAGAGGAGCCGCGGGAGCAGGCGGCGGAGCCCGCCCGGCTCCCGCCCTGCTCAGCCCCGCGCCGCGTTCCAGCCTCGCTGGAGTTGAGCTCTGAGACTGGAAGAAACTGCACGAGCAGCGAGAGCCGGGGGGCGGCTCCCCCCTCCCTCCCCCAGCACCATGTGATGCCAGCGGAGCGGGGCGGGGATCCCCGACAGCCGCCGCGCACCTCACCTCACCTCGCCGGGCGCGCGTCGGAGGCTGTCAAAGTTCAGCGAGGGAAAAGGCTTCGCGCTCCCGCCCGCAGCCCCGTGCGGCGCCCCGCCCGCCCCAAGCACACAGGTGGCGGCCGGAGTGAGCCCTGGGGGAGTCACGGGTCGCTCCCCTATGCGAGGCGTCCCTTACCGCCCGCAGACGCAGCCCGCTGTCCCCGGGAGGGGCTGAGGGAGCGCGCGACCCTCGCTCCTTTTCTTCCTTCGGCCCCCTGAGAGGGGACTCAATCGCAAGCAGATGGAAGCGGCCGCGCCGGCCGCGTACGTGTCGGTGCGGACCCCGCTGCCTCCCCCGCGCACACCCGCCCGGGCTGGCGCTCGGCACTGTCTCCCCGCCGCTGGCCGCCCATGGGCGCTGCGGGGCCCGCCGCGGCCGTCCGCACCGGGGCGCGTCGGCGCCTCTCCGGCGGCGGGCGCGAGCGGCGGAGAGGTAAAGTAGGGCAGGGGCAGGCCGGAGTGCGGCCGGGTCCCCCGTGCAGGAGCGGCCTTTCGCGGCCTGTTTTGCTCCAGCCCGAGGGGTGATTCGCCTCCCCTCGCCGGCTAACCGCGCTGTCCTCGTGTCACAGCCTCTTCTGCCAGCGAAGAGCCTGAATTAAACTGCTCTTTAGTTCTCAGTTCATCTGCATGAGTGAATCCTACCTGCACGCACGTTGTTTGGGAGCAGGGAGGTTGGCTGAGCTGAACAGGGTATAGTCTGCACGAAATCCCATACGGATTCACTGTGTGATGCCAATGCCCTTCCAGTGCACCCCCTCTCAGCTGTATCGACTGCATATAACCCTGCATTTAACCACAGCATCATGAAGTGGTTTGGGTTGGAAAGGACCTTAAAGATCGTGTTTCATCTAGTCACACCAACCCCTTCCAAAATCCCCTCTCCAGGCACAAATATGCAAGATAAATTTTATTTATGAAAGACGTCCCGATCAAAATTTCTTAAAAGTTTAAAAAGACAACTCAAGTTTGTGGCAGAAATGACCTGAAATACAGCAAATTGCACAAAATATCAACACTGATCATACAGCTCTTCAAAGATAACAGGCATGTGCTAAAGAAACTGTGGAGTCTAGAAATATCCCAAATATGTCTAGTTTACTGATTGCTGTACAAAAAGCAGTTATAAATACTTCACATCTAGAAAAAAATACACAGAACCTTTGAAATAGACTTTCCCTTACATATAAACAACCTTTGTAGAAAAAGCCAAATGCAGCCGATACAGGCCAATCCCCCTGCTCCTAGATATGTTTCAACTAGCATGGGTTAGCATCAACCTCTTTTTGAAGTGTGCCACAAACAGGAGTTGGGTTTCATATATTAAAAATAATTTTAACGCATACAATGTAATTACGACCAAACAGGGACTAGAAAACATCACACAGTATGGTACATTCGACATTTGATGGGAAATGAGTACACAGGAGGTGGAAGTAGAGAAACTGTGTTGCAGTCAGAAGTGAGGGGCGGTTTATGCAGCTCTCATTCACACAAGACTCCCGGTGTGTCAGCAGTGGATTAGTCTGACCCTGGTCTTTCAGATATGTGTATGATTGATGAAGTCAATACCAGCAGCATCAGGCCTTTTAATGTATTCATTTTCTTGTCATGTTAGAAGTCAAAACCTTCTCAAAATAAGACACCTGTTGTAGAACTGTAATAACCGAAATGCATATTTCCCTAGAACACCTATATGGAATTGCACTAAAAATAAACAATAAAACATATTATGTAAAAAAGGAGTCCAAGAAAGGTCATTACAGACAATTTGGCAGACTCAGGTCTATGGTAACGCAGTGTTTCTACATACAGTTTAAAGACTAGAACAATTATAAATCTTTCTTAAAAAATCTACCAACTTTTCTTGTTAATATTAACATCAGTTTCTTTAAGTTAGTAGTCTGCCATTACAGGAGCATAGCACCAATTTAATATTTATTGCTGTCATTTACCCCTACAAATATATTTTCCCAAAATACTTACAACTGTACAAATATTCACAAAAGTGCAAAATTCAGACTTTATTCTGTGTCACTGCTATGTTCAGTGTCGAGTCTCACGCACCATGATGACTGCTGTCTTGCCTTTCTTATTGCTGTGTGGTGGGAAGTCACAACACCCTGCCGTGAGCGCAGCGATTCAGAGGGAGAATTTTCAACAGCCGCCTCTTCTCCCCCCCCTAACTCCCCACTCGCCTTCAGCTGTGTTATGTGCTACAGCCACAACCCACAGGGAAGGGTCTCTAGACATCGTTTGAGCCTTGGCTGGTGCAAGAGGAGAAGCTATCATATAGAGAATCACTCAAGGATTCTAAATTGTCCATATCGTGCCTTCCCGAGCTATTTAAGGAAGCTTCTTCTTTCTTCCCATTTTCTTCCTTTTGTCCTTCAACCTTGTTCAGACAGTTTTTCTCTTTTTCAAATAAAAGTACGTTATTGCTGTTAAATTTATTGAGAGACTCCAGGGAAATTTTAGATAATCCATTCTGGGAATCTTCTGTTTCTTCAGTTTGCTTCAGTTTCTGTAATAAGTGAGGGAAATATTAGAAACATATTTCTTATAAAGTTATCCTACTGTACACCATTAATTACCATCTTTCCCAAGTTCACAGGGTTAAAGGAAAAAGATTGTTAGATGCTTAAATATCTGTTATCATTAAATAGAATGTTAACATCCATTTTAGGAGAAATCATAGCTTTAATGATTCTGCTGAGACAAATAGGACTCCATTTACACAACAGTAAAGTGCTATTAATGTCTGAAGTAGCAGATCCTGAGTACACGGATATTAAGCGTCTCCAGCATCTTCACGGTAAGTTACATCTTCTCCTGTACAAATACTTTGGGAGGCATGTTTGAATGGGTGTTTGTTTAAGTTGAGTTTGGAGTCTGCTAAAAAAAACGAAGTGCATAGATATGTTCAGAGGGGAAAACAGCATTTTTTATAAATTACAGACACAAATGAAATGTGCTAGAGAGCTACCTCGCATTTCACATGGAGCAAGCCTATTGATTTCCACGGACCCAAACTCTCTCTAACCAACAAGAAAGAAACAAGGCAGGAAATTACACTGAAAAGGGCCAATCCCCACAGACCAGAATCAATCAGATACCAGCCAAGCTTACTTGGAGAAGTGTTGTAATTCTGCAGGAACACCGGACGATGCATTAGCACATTATATTAAAATCGCACAGTAGGATTATACAGAGTAATTTTATCCCTTTGGTAGCTACTGGTATTCTCAATCAGTGATCTGCCCAAGGATTAGTTAGAGAACTGCACTGGGAGTGGTTCAATAAAAATGACCTGCTGTTCATACACAGGGTGTTTCAAAGTCTGCCTAACTAACTCCTCTTACACATAATATTATCACTGAAGTATGAGATAACATTCAACATTTTACATTCAACATTCAACAACCTCTCGGAGAGATAAGAGTCAAGAATTTTGAGATATGCTGTCAGAGTGCAAGCCATTCCTCATTTTTGGTATTACCGTCAGATAGCGAAGACTGAATCAGTAAAGTGCTGTCAATCCAAGACAATATTTTTGTTTAGATAGAAAATGAAATGGTATTTTAAGCACACTGAAAATACAGTGCATCCAGATGTATGGATGATGTGGATCATTACATGTGCAGTTATAAAGGGTCGTTAGAATTTTTGGAAGAATTCAAGTTCCAGGTAAGTCCAGTGTTATGCATGCTGTGCTGCTTATCCTCAGAAATCTTGTGCTAGAGGAAGACAAATCCCTACATAGTTTGATTGCTTGTTTTTATGGCTAGTTAGATAAAAATCGAAATGCCAGTCCAATGACTGCTTATACTGTGATCTTGTCATATTTCATCAGCTAACAATGCCTGGATGAGGTTAGTATTTTTATCAAATGTTTCAAACGTTAAGCAAAGCAACAGGAGATGCTAGAGTCTTAATAAATGAAAATTTTCTGTTTGGTTCATTAATTAATCTTCAGTCCAAAAGGTTTTAGGAGACGTTATGTTAGATTATTTTAGATGACAAAACTCAAGACAGTTGAGGTCTTCAATATCTGTAATTAAAATGTTTCCTGAAAATACTTGGTAACAAAACAAAGACAAATTTAGGACCCTTTCATAGAAATTCACCACAATTTCAGCTTAGAACGTTCCTCCCTTTGCCCTCCTTTAAAATACTATGCACTATTCCTGAAACAGTGTTTCACTTCTCTGTAGACCAGATGAGAAATTTCTCAGACACGGCATCAATACCATGTGCATTAGCACTTTTTTGCTCTTCAGACTATTAAACCTGAAATACTTTATTATATGACAGACTAAACGATTTTTCTTTGTGTATATTTTTCCCACTTCACAGAGTTTTTTTTTTTAATAAATTGAATATGGCTACTTAGCACAGACTTGGGTCTGCAAGAAGTCAATACTGGTGTTAGTAAGGTCTATGATAAAACTTTCATTGATTCAAATGGAGCCAATTTCCACTATTGGGTAGGAGGAGCAGAGACATCTAGAGTATTTCCTGCACAGAGCAGTCCAGATGAAGTATTGAAATATGAGTAGGATCTTTGGCTGGCTGAAGAATGGATTTAAGCCAGTGGACAGACTGGAGTGAATTCAGCAGTATATTCTGCATACATGTAATATCAATAATTTATTATACCCTTACAAGTACAACCTAGACTACAATCCTACTTTAATCACACCCTGGTTTCTCATTTAATATAAGGCTAAGTTTATAAAATATATTAGGAAACTGCAGGGAACAGAATTATTCTCTACAAATTTTAAGCAAAATCACTGAATTGAATCAAATGAAACTGAAGTGAACAGAAACCTGTCAGTGAAGCCCATTGGCAAAAGGTACACAGAATATTGAACAGTGCTTCTACAATACATCAAGAATTAAAGAAAAAACTAATTCTAAAAGTTGTTGCAGCAATATTTATTACTGAAATAGAAAAAAAATCAGAAATAAGTTATGGATATTTCTTTGAAATACAGTTGTCCTTTTTAGATGTCTTCAATGCCCAGTTCAATCCTTTTGTGAAAAATAATACATCTTTAACACATTACTGCAATAGTATGCAAGTATGCAAAAGTAATGCTTATGTGATGTGGACAGTAATACTTTTATGTTTTTTTTCATTTGATGTAGGTGTAATGTATAATATATAATACAATACAAACTGTATTGTAATACACTGGTTTAGGCCATTTATTGCTAATTTTATAGTTAGTTAAGAATGTGGGGTCGTCTGGATGGGAATTCTGTTAGGGAATTAATATTTTAGAACTGTACTCAGATATCAGATGTACAATATGATCTTAGCTCATGATTTTGTTAGTAGAGCTGCACTTAAATCTGTTGAAACAAGTCCAGAGGAGGGCCACGAGGATGATCAGGGGACTGGAGCACCTCCCGTATGAAGATAGGCTGAGGAAGTTGGGGCTGTTCAGCCTCAAGAAGAGAAGGCTGAATGGAGACCTCATAGCAGCCTTCCAGTATCTGAAGGGGGGCTATAGCAATGCCGGGGAGGGACTTCATTAGGGACTGTGGTAATAGGACAAGGGGTAACGGGTTAAAACTTAAACAGGGGAAGTTTAGATTGGATATAAGGAAGAAATTCCTCCCTGTTAGGGTGGTGAGGCACTGGAATGGGTTGCCCAAGGAAGTTGTGAATGCTCCATCCCTGGCAGTGTTCAAGTCCAGGTTGGACAGAGCCTTGAGTGATACAGTTTAGTGTGAGGTGTCCCTGCCCATGGCAGGGGGGGTTGGAACTAGATGATCTTAAGGTCCTTTCCAACCCTAACTATTCTATGATTCTATGGTAATCACATATGGAATAAAAATATATTTGTGGTTCGAAAGTTAAAATGTGATATTCTAGACCTTGACACACAGAAGAACACTCACTCACTGACTGAGCTCCATAAGCAAAAATAAAACTTTAAGCAGAGAAATTAATGTAAGAATCTACATAATCAACAAATAATTTTCTCCCACAGTAACAAAATTATGTACCTTCCTAGAATTGAAAGGTCATTGATAATTTCTTTAAACTTCAAGCGTCAGGATAAATGTTATCGAAATTCTTTAAGATTTTTTTCTCTGGTTACTCTAGATACAATTCAGAAAAAATTACTAAAGACTATTTATTTAAATTTATCCTTAACTGTCTTATTTTTCATGGCAGTCAGAACAGCTGCTAGATGAATCAAAAGACAAAACCAAAGAAACTATTATTAGAATTTGTTTGATAAATTGTGTCTGTGGTTAAGTAAAGCCTTTAGTTTTGTTCACGTACATTTGTTACTGACTTCAGCAGAGTCACAGATCTAACAAAGAATGAGGGTTTAGCCCAAAGATGTTAGTATTGTGCCTTTTAAAGTAATTAGTTCATTAATGCATTTGAGAGCCACACTAATGTGAATCAGTAGCTCTTCCTGCAGATAGGAACATTTGGCAGCAGATCAGGTGGGTTTTATATGCTTGAGAACTGGGTGAGATTTGATAATAGAGTGCACCTAACCTCCAAGTTGTGGGTTCCAGTCTAATTTTTCCTGTATTAGTAGTGACTTTCTGCATAATAAACAGGTGGGTTTATCACCATGACAAAAAAAAAAAAAAAAAAGAAAGGATTTGGTGATGTTGTTCAGCATTGCTGGAAGAGCCAAGATGGAAACAACAGTATGTGCTTGCTCTCAGACAGGATTTGTCTTAGAAGTATACTCATAGCCATTTCAGGTGTTGACTTTGCTGCTGATTATCCTGCTTCTGCTCTATGAATAAAGAAAGTGTTTGCTGTGTTCGGTGTGGTCAATATTAACTTAAGGGAAATGGTAAAAACATGTCACAGGTTTTGGTCTAAAGGAGAAAAAAAGGCACAGTGCAGAAAAGGACTGTGATTTTCGCAGTGCCTCTGTAAAAGCATTGGCCCATCATTGTAAAGCAGATCCATGAATAACTTGTTTTACTTATACTAACTATATTTTTGTATAGAAAATACATACTGTTATAGCCTTAGGGTATAGGAAGCATTTGTTGTTCTACTTTGTTGTAAGTGGAGAGCTTCTGACCAATGGAGTTTCTTAGCTAGTCAGTATGTGGTGCTTTATACCACCTGAGAGCAGGGACTATTCATCAGAAGAGAAACTCTATCTGACAGAATATAGACATTCATCACGAGTCACATCACTTTGAAATAAATCCATGAGTCATGAATCAGAATAATGTTTCCTTGTTGGCAACATCCTAAAGGGAATAACTAAAACCCATTAGTGATATAATAAAATCTGGCATGTCACTTCAAGCACAGCAAATTATGAAAACACAACTAGCCTGCAGTTACACTGATATATTATAAATAGGTGTTATTTCTACATTAATACATCAAACTAGATTTTGAAAAAAACTTTAAAAATGAGAGGTTACATGTGGGTAGAATGCATTTGCAGCACTGTGTGATCAAAGACCAGTGACAACTGTAGCTGTTGTGAATGGCAGAAGGGCTCTGCAGGTCTAATA